AGTAACAGTGCCTTCTGCGCCACTCTATGGGCAGCACTGTTAGCAGTCCGAGGAACTGCCCTAAACTCTAAAGAAACAGAGATAGAAGAAAGGAGAAGGAAACAATCCCTAAGCACCGGACCTCCAATGGAATCGGAGAGAGCACCTTGACGAAGCTGACGAACCACCACCTCTGAATCTCCTTCTATGATGACCCGAGGCAACAACTTGGAGACAACAAGGGCGATGGCGTCCCTAGCTGCTAGGAGCTCCGCAAGATAGGGATCAGCAATACCAGGATGGAGGGATCCTAACGCCAGAGCCACATGCCCATCTGAACTGCGCACCACAAGACCAGACGAGCACCCAGAGGAACGAACAGCAGCATCAAAGTTGATCTTCACAAAGCCATCAGGAGGAGGGGACCAAGACGAGAGGCGAGAACGGGGAGGCTGGGGCGGAGCAGGGACCAAAGGAAGGGAGGAAGACAGTTCGCGAACTTGGAAAAAACACTGACGAGCGAGAGACTGGGCATGAGGTTGGACATGCTCAAAGACCACCTTATTTCTAGACTTCCAGATCCTCCATAATACACAAACGTATAGGAGAATGTGGGTTTGGGGGTGCTCAGAAAGCATAACATGTCGCCACCAGAGACTGAAGTTCACAGTCGGGGCCGAGGAGATGAAATCATTTAGACCCATGAGTGACCACAATCTTGTGGCCAAGGGGCATTTGAAGAACAGATGTTCGAGACTTTCCTGTCTTCTCCAGCAAACTGGGCAGCGAGCTAGACAGTTTACTCCTCTGGACTTGAGTGCTACTACTGTTGGTAGTATCACTCTAAGGCATTGCCAGATAAAGAACTTCAGCTTCGGAGTGATTAGTATATTCCATGTTTTCTTCCAGATAGGAGAGTCAATGATTTGGACCTGTGGTTTTCGGCTTGAAGCTAAGGAGAGCTCTAGAGCTAGATGGTACCCTGTTTTGACTGAGTATGAACCACTTTTTGTGTAGTGCCACACTCTCGAATCTCTTTGTTGGCATCTCGGGAGTGGGGTTTTACATATAAGATTTACCGATATAGGATCAAAACAATACTGCAGCCTTGGGACATGCCACTCTCCTCTATTTTCCTTGATAAAGAAGGAGACTCTTGGGGAGTTAGTAATGTTCGAAAGGCGCACCAACGGAGTGATGGGTTTGTCTGCAATTACCCACTTATCTTTGAAGGCCACGATGTCTTGCCCATCTCCAACTTGCCATCTTAGCCCTTGGAGGAGGAGGTCTCTTCCAAACAGAATACTCCTCCATCCCCACGAAGGATTCGAGCCTAGGTTAGCATCCAACACTGAACCATGCTGAAAGTATCGACCTTTATATATTGAAGCTAGGAGGGAATCCGGATTTTGCCATATTCGCCAGCATTGTTTTGCTAACAATGCTTGGTTAAATGCCCCAAAGTCCCTAAAGCCTAGACCTCCAAGAAATTTACTACTCGCCAGGCTTTTCCAGGATACCCAGTGTATTGGGTGATCTGTGTTCTCTGCTGAACCCCACCAGAATCTTGCTACTTGACTATTTAGTCTTCTACAATTCTCTTTTGGGATCTTGAAGCACGACAATCCATGGACTGGAAGATTGGTGGCAGCTGTTCTAATCAAGATGTCTTTTCCAGCTTTAGAGAGAGTCCGTTGTTTCCACCCTTGTAATTTCTTGATAAGCTTCTCTTCTATGAAAAGGAAAGCCTCTCTTTTTGATCTAGATATGATTGAAGGGAGTCCCAAGTAATAATCTTGTTCTCCAATGCTTCCCACTCCTAATTGTCTTCCTAGATCCTCCGCTAGGTCAGGGTTCGTGTTGCGACTGAATAAAACAGCTGATTTTTGTAGGTTAACCCTTTGGCCGCTCAAGCCTTCGTAAACTTGGAATAGCGACAGAACTGTTGAGCAAGACTGCGGGGAAGCTTCCAAGAAGAGATAAGAGTCATCCGCAAAGAATATATGAGAAACCATTGGGCAATTTGCCCGGATTCTGACTCCTTCCAAATACCCTATCGCTACTGAGTGTCTTATCAATGCCGAAAAACCTTCCGTACAGATAGCAAATAGGAGAGACGATAGGGGGTCTCCTTGTCTAAGTCCTCTTGAGGGCTGGAAGTAACTAGAGGGGACTCCGTTTACCAGAACCGAGTAGGAAACTGTTGTGACGCATTCTTTTATCCATGACATAAACTTGTGATCAAATCCTAGTTTTTCCATTACCTCGAAAAGAAATGGCCATTCCACAGGGTCATAGGCTTTTTCCATATCTAACTTTAGTGCCATCCATGTTTTTTGACCAGAGGTCAGAGTCCGGAGATGATGAGAAATCTCATGGCTAATTAGAATATTGTCTGAGATTTGACGCCCTTTGATGAAACCATTCTGGGTTTGGCATATTACACTGGGGAGGACCCTGCTTAGTCTATTAGCCAGAATTTTTGCTATGATTTTGTAAACCACTTGGCATAGACTAATAGGTCTGAGATTCTTCATTGACCTAACTTCTGCAGATTTTGGAACAAGCGAAATCCAAGTTCTATTGATAGACCTTAATAGATGACCAGAGTAAAAGAAAGCTAGTACTGTTTGAGTGACATCGCTACCAACTATATCCCAGTACGCTTGGAAGAACCCAGCTGTGAATCCATCTGGTCCAGGGCTTGGGTTTTCCCCATACTGAAGACTACTTCTTTGACCTCTTCTGATGTGATACGATCAACTAGAGCTTGATTTTGTTCTTCAGAAACAAAGCGTTCAAATGGCAGGTTAGCTAGGCTGATATCTTCAGAGAGCTGAGACCGAAACAAAGTTTGATAAAATTCAACTGCTATGCGTAGTTTCCGATCTCCGTCTGTACACCATATACCCCTAGAGTCCTCCAAGCCCCAGATGAAATTGGCCTGACGTCTGATTGCCGTTATCATATGAAAGTACGGGGTGTTGCGATCCCCTTCTGTTAACCAGCTGACGCGCGACTTTTGTCTCCAATAGATTTCCTCCATTCTATACTGAACCTCTAGCCTTTCTTCTAAAGAATGGATCAGGTTCCAATTTACTATGTTATTTTCCCGGGTCTCGACGAGAGCTGAATTGAGATCCCTTATCAGTCTAGCTGAGTTAGAGGTACCCCCTTTGCACCAGTCGACTAAGGCGTGGCGAACTCTGAGTAGTTTGTAGAATAGACAAAACTGTAAGGACCCAGTAATGGGTGTGTTCCAAACATAGTCTATTATGAGTCTAGCTTCATGAATTTTCGTCCACCTAATATCAAAGTGGAATAGTCGTTTAGCTCTAGACATTTCCGGGGTTGTCATGAGGCATAGGAGTCTATGATCTGATCCTTTGTCTGAGAGGTGATATAGGCAGGAGTCTGGCCATTGGAGCACCCAACTTGATGAGACAAAAGCTCTGTCTATTTGTTGCTCTATTAGGATTCCATTCCTACCCCGGTTAGTCCACGTAAATTTTGGGCCCTGAAATCTCACTTCTAGTAGACCTAGAGTATTTATAAAATCCCAAAGGGGCCGGGCTTTGTCCATTCGCCAAGGGGCTCCACCTGATTTCTCTACTGGGGATAATGAGCAATTGACATCTCCTATTATAAGAAAGGGGACACGAAAACAATCAGTGGTTCAACATATCGAAGATTGAAAGAGATGAAATTGCTAAAAAGACGCCCTAGTGGATAAATGACTAGCTTGATGCATAGAACAGAGCAGATCCATATCTCCATGTCCCTTTGATCCAATATTGGATCAAGTCACATAGAGGGATCTTTCAAGCAGGGTTTTGATGCACGAATGGTTAATCGATGAGGAGACTTGTCAGAGGGTGTTGTTCATGAGGATGATGAGATTATTCATTTTTAAATTCACAATAATGGAGAAGTAAACTTGTAGTGTGGAAGAAGCAGAGGCGAGCGCCATGCTTCTGACTTCTGAGTATTTAAGGGGCGACAGTGAAAGGAATTTGGTCGTTGATTGTGGAGACTGATTGCAAGTAGCTCATTATCGGATGGAAGGAAGAAAAAGATAAAACTGAAATTGGAAGAATATGCGATAGAATGAAGGAGAGCATGATTGTTGGATTTGATTGAAGATTCTCTGAGTGGAGTTTTGTTTTGTGCTCAACGAACTGGGCCACCCATCATTTGTCCCGCCTTGTACGTAGAGGGTTTGGACCAGACTATGTTATGAAATATGCTACCATTGTTGCATCAAAAACTTATTCGAAAAAACTTGTTCTCAAGCAGAGGATGTGTGCTCAGCTATGACACATAACACAATAATAGTAGATGAGATGCGACCACATGTGCTATATCGACATATTGTTGGAATTAGGATAACAAAAATGTATGTTTTTGTTAAAAACACGAACTTATTAGAACAATAGAGGTAGGTTGGATAAATAAAATCAGAACAAAATCAACTTGAGATATCTAGATAGGTCGGGCAAATTAAGTCTTGATTGTTAAAAATTTGTAATTTCAGTTTCGATTATTATTTATTAACCAATATTTGCATGCGGCGTGGAGGCACCCGTCCGTCAAATAATTTTGCAATGCGGATGAAGTCGAAATTGTAATTATCACAAGAAAGTGAAAATATAAGCATAATATTCATTTTTTTATATAATAAACAGAAAATTCATTACAAAAACGTAATGGGTTGAAAATTGCATGTGGTGGTTTGGACAAACAAAGACTGTCTTCCTAGGCCTGAGAGTCGGGGCCGAACATACCTGGTGAGTTCCGCCTGTAGAAATTTTCTATTTCTTATCAGGCCCATGACCGGCCCATGGTTCATAGTGCTGGTCTGGCTGGGTCCGCTCCGAAAACCTAATTGTAAACGGAGAAGTGTTTAGTGATCAATCGACCAAGAAGGTAAAACTTCAAGATCTAAGCGACTATTTTGCATGAATTTTTTTAAATTTGCTCCTCTTTAAACATTTGTTTTACCCTTTTAGGCACGCCGACTTCCTGTTCCAAATCGGCATCGCCCTCGTTCTTCTTCTTCTCTCTAATAATTCTTGTCCTTCCCTTTCTGCCTTTCTCCCTCTCTTTCTCTTGGTTACAAAAATCAAAAGATATAAAAAGCGAGGAGGAGATACTGCTCGTTTATTCTTTGATTCGATCGAACCCTTTGATTACGAAACCGATCCCAATTTCCAGTTCTCCCACCTTGTTGAAGTTCTTTAGGTTTTGGCAAATCGAATTGCTATGGAGAACAATTACAGCGGCAGCAACACCGCCAATTCGAAGTCGGGTTCGGAAGCAGAACCCAAGCCTAACGACCCCGCCGTTAGGGAACAAGAAAACCATCTTCCTAAAGACCCTATTGTCCCAGCTCCGGTGACTAATGGAGAAGCGGCGACCGCAGCAGCAGCGGTGGAAGAAGGTGGAGAGGAAAGCGACGTCGTCGACCTCGAGGAGGACGACGAGGTAGAAGAAGTAGAAGAGGAAGAAGACCGACAGCAGGAGGCTGCTCCTGCTCGCCAGTCTGCCGCAAGGACTCCTTTCACTAATCTTAGTCAGGAAGATGCTGACCTCGCTCTCGCTCGTACCCTCCAAGAACAGGTTCCCCGCCTCTCTTCCTTCTTTTACTGTTCCGTCTTTAATTGCATCTAATGTAGGGAGCTCAACTGCAATGAATAAGTTAATTAGAGAGAATAAGTTCATTAGAGACAAGGTGTTTCCCCCTGATTTAGATGCCTAGAAAATTTGCGTCCTCACTAGTCGGTCTTTGTGCTCGATGGATTCGGTTTGCAGTAATGGGATTGGGAGAGAAACATGGTAGCGGCCAGGATATGCTTTATTGTGATTCTGTTTTTTTTTTTTTTATTATTATTATTGTTTTTGTTTTCTGGAGTGTTATTTTGATGTGGTCACTTGTGCAATTAGGAAAGAGCATACATGATGCTAAGTCGTGCATCGATGAGCCTAGATGGAGAGACTGAATGGGTAGGAGGTGGAAGCTATTTGGGAGAAGATGAAGACGATGAAGATTTTGATGACCCTGATGATGTCAGTGATGGACATGAGTATAATGAGCATGAGTATGGTGAAAGTGAAGAGTTGGGTGAGGATGATGTAGATGCTTTTGACGTCCATGCTCGTGCTGAAGTTGTTGATGATGATGGTCCCAACCTTGAAGAAATGGACCCTTCTGCATTTTCGAGTGATGAGGCTTATGCTAGAGCGTTACAGGACAACGAAGAAAGAGAGATGGCTGCAAGACTGTTTGCCCTTGCTGGGATAAATGATAGTCAGTCTTTGCATATGTTTCTTTTTTGCTTTTCACCTTGCTTGATCTTTTTATGTGCCTACACTTTGCCATATTTTGGGGACCATGATCTGACTTGCTATCTCTTCTTCTGATTTCAGGGGCAGTTGAATATGTTGAACAGCATGGTGCCCATTCTCAGGTACAAATGGTTGAAAATCGTGTTCTTGTCCACCTCACGCTGGTTATTGGCAATCAGTATGTTATTCATTTTGGTTTTTGCCTAGTTTGAGAAATTTCATCGGTATGTATCTTAGGTACTTTGATGCGTATGATAGTAATTTCCGGTGTGCCCTCAAGCTAATCTGACTATGGCTTTGTAAGCCCAGCATGAACTGTTAATGTCATTCGTTTTTTTAGTTTAGCGAGGAGAGCTAGTTATCACTGGGTTGAATTGTTAAGATATTTATGTTGGGTTCCCTTACCCTACAAGTGGTACTGAGTTTACGTGTGGCTAGGTGGAGCAAATTGCCAGTAGTTAGGTAATTCCCTTTAGCATCTGAGCATGGTAAAGGTTAGTCACATGGCTGAGGATGATTATCAGTCATCATTTCAAGGTTGTTATCAGTGAGCAAACATTAGATGAACAAGTGGTGAAGTAAGTTTGTAATAACACAGTGAATTCGTTGTATCTGCAGTCCAGCTAGAGGTACGCGTTTGGTTGTATAGAAGTGCAAACAAAAATGTTGATTACGGCATTTGGTCTATTGGATTTTAGGCATAAATCAACCTGCTACTGTATTCAAATTGAGTCCCTATTCCTCTGTTCATAGGCTCGTGTAGGCTACCATATACAATTTTCCTGTGGCTAATAGGCAAGCCCTGGATGTGCAGGATACATGGGAGGAAGTCGACCCAGATGAACTTTCTTATGAGGTGAGCTATAACTTAACCAACTAATGACCTGCAATGGATCCCCTTTGGCCGTTTTGCTTTTCTGATGATTTAATTTCAACTATTTCAGGAGCTGCTTGCTCTGGGAGAAGTAGTTGGAACTGAAAGCAGAGGGCTGTCAGCCGATACCATTGCCAACCTCCCCAGCGTGAACTACAAGTCCGGAAGCAACGAGAGTGGAACTAGCGATTCGTAAGTGTTCTAAAAATGTGCAATTTTGACTGGTGGCTTCGAATGCTCGAGAGTTGTAATTTGAAACTCGAAGTGGTCTATATGTTTCAGGTGTGTGATATGTCGGTTGGATTATGAGGATGAAGAGACCGTGACGGTACTGTCCTGCAAACATTCGTACCACGCAGAGTGCATCAACAATTGGTTGCAAATAAACAAGGTAATCACATTGTTGAAATGAAAACTTCTCAGTACGGTCCGTTTGCAAATGTGCGTGGTTTTGATTTTGCAATAGACGCGTTGGTGTGGAGCTCGGATCCATGTGTAACAACAACAGCTGCTACTGTGATGTGATTTTTGCGCAGGTATGTCCTGTTTGCAGTACAGAGGTTTTGACGGTGGCCGGAGGAAGCCAGTCGTCCTAGCTTTTGTGATAGGTAATGTCTGGAGGGACAGCTCCGTCGAGGGGGAAGGGTAGCGGAAGCCTAGGACATTTGAATACTGTATTTCAGTGTATATGTAATTGGTAGGGTATGATTCTGGGATTTAAGTTTCCGCATGAGACATTATTTCTCCGACCTGGGGTTTCGAAAGTGGGGAAAAGAGATTGGGTAATTAGCATAAACGGTCACACAACTATTCACTTAGTACAAAACGGTCACTAAACTTCATTTTTGCACGATCCAGTCACACACCTTTGGAGTGGGCTGCCTTTTGCTTCCCAACTTTCAATGGAAACATGGAGTATCAGGTTCAGTCATACAGGGGCAGGTATGTTGTGGATATGCACAATCGAACGTGTGCTTGTGGTAGGTGGCAATTGAGTGGCATCCCTTGTCAACATGCCATTTCTTGCATGAAGATGAATAAGGATACTCTAGAGTTGTATAGGGCTGATTGCTATCGTGTAGAGGCATGCAAGAGGTCCTACTCATATCCAAAGGTGTGTGACTGGATCGTGCAAAAATGAAGTTTAGTGACCGTTTTGTACTAAGTGAATAGTTGTGTGACCGTTTATGCTAATTACCAAAAGAGATCACTTCTGGTTCTGGGGATTTGTCGGTGGTTTCGTCGTTTTCTCTTTCTCGTGATTTCTGGAGGTGGGGAAGTAACGTCTCTGTTCGGCTTTTCTTTTCTTTCCCTGAATCAGGCCCCAAGCCACCAACACATGTTTGTTCACCCTTATCGTTTCACAAGTTACTTGTCGTGAGATTATTCTCTTTAACGCCGATGCTTAAGGGTTGGTTACTTGGTTTTAAATCATTAGATTAATGGTTCTGATTATAATTATTATAATTCTTCATCTATAATCTATAATATAATAATAGGGTACATTGTCAGTAAATGTTTTGATTGGATTGGATTGGTTTTATGTGAAAGTTCAGCAAGAATAGAAAAGTTGTTGTAAAAGGGCAGCAAGGTTATTGTGTTTCATTATCATCAATTTAATTCACCAAAATTCTCCATCAAAATTTCCAATGGCCTCTCACCAAAAAATAAAATAAAATAAATTTCCAATGGCCAAAACGGCAAAACCCATAATCAATTTATCATTTCAGAATACAACCCAATTCACTAAAATTCATCAAATTCAACAAGTAAATAACAATTTTTCTTCCAAAATAATTATTCATTGATTGTTGGCTCCAATGTTTAAATTTAGAGTAGTGGATATTCTCATCCTCACATTATCACTGGGCCAATCCCTTGAGATCTTCTTCTAAATTTTCTTTAGCCCAGAGCACTCATACATTTATCATTTTTAAAATTAAAAAGTTCAAGTCTTTTACTTTTCAAATTCAACAAGCAACCGTATATAAATGCCAACACCACCTAAATAGGCATACAATATGAATTTTATAAATGCTGATAAAAATGGACCAAAGCGTACCGAGTACAATGTTAGTCCACTCATTGTTCTTAAAATTTCTTTCTTTATTGAACAATAATAATTCTCATAAATTTTGTTCAATTCAAACCGAGCGATTGCACACCCTATTCACTGAGTCACGGCACACTAGTGTTTAACTTTAAAGTTTAGACCATAACTGGTGCATACTAGGACGAGTATGAAATGGTAACCATGCTCCTTGCTGAGACTATCGGGGAAAATGGGCTTTGGTCGTAATTATGGTCCCTGCATATTACATGGCAGGCTGAGTTAGTCTTTAATTGGACCGATCTAGTTAAAGACCCATTACTCCATTACTATGGGCCTTCTCAGATCCACTGGAGTTCTTCTCTCATTCCCACCGGCCCGTTATTTCAGTCCTATAAATTCGAGAGCTCGGCCTGCTAAAGGGCAAAGAAAATTTCTTGCTCCTCCAGTCGTCCATGTTCCTGCGAGCGTTGGCGCTCTGTCTTTGTTAGCAGCACAGACCCATGTTGCATGTCTTCCCTGCTCTGCAAAAATGGCGTCCAGGACGATACCCTCATCTCCATACTCGCCAGATGCAGCTCATTGCCACAGCTCAAGCAGATTCACGCTTTGGTCATCACTCTACGCCTCTCTCCGGTCGATACATTCGTCTCCAGAATCGAGTCTTTCTCTGAACCCTCCAATTCGAATTGCCTGGACTACTGCTACCGGGTTCTCTCAAACCTCCCGAATCCCGCTCCGACCTTCGCTTGGAATGAAGTCATACGAAGGTACTCCGCCACCAATACCCCGAACAGAGCTCTCTCTGCTTTTACCCAAATGCTGCGAACTGGAGTTTCCCCTGACCATCTCACGTACCCTTTTCTTTTCAAGGCTTCGTCCCGCCTCTTCGACCTCAAACCCGGCCTCTCGGTCCATGCCCACACTACGAAGGAAGGGTTCAATTCGGACAGATATATCGCGAACTCCATGCTCCATATGTACGCATCCTGTAGGGATATAGCTCATGCACGCATGGTGTTCGACGAAATTCCCGTGAAGAACCTGGTCTCGTGGAACTCGATGGTGGATGGGTATGCGAAGTGTGGTAACATGGAATTGGCACGCAAGGTGTTTGATTTGATGCCTGATAGAGATGTCGTCTCGTGGAGCTGCTTGATCGATGGCTATGTTAAAGCAGGGGGATACAAGGAAGCATTGGTAATGTTTAACAAGATGCAAGGGGCTGCCAATACCGAGGCCAATGAGGTAACCATGGTGAGCGTTCTTAGCGCATGTGCCCACTCGGGCGAGCTCGAGAAAGGCAGGGCGATGCATGACTACATTACCCGCAACTCCTTGCCCAAGACTCTGGTCCTGCAAACTTCTCTCGTCGACATGTACGCCAAATGCGGAGCAGTGGACGAAGCTTTGAAGGTCTTTCGCGAGTTCCCTGTCCTGAAAACCGACGTCTTGATCTGGAACGCCATGATTGGTGGGCTCTCCGCGCATGGTTTGCTCGAAGAAGCTCTGCATTTGTTCGCTGAGATGCAAACAGCCGGGATTAAACCAGACGAGATCACGTATCTATGCTTGTTGAGCGCTTGTGCGCATGGAGGGTTAGTGAACGAGGCATGGTTCTTCTTTGATTGCCTTGAGAAGCATGGCATGGCGGCCAAGAGCGAGCACTATGCCTGCTTGGTGGATATGCTGGCTCGAGCTGGTCAGGTTGCAGAGGCGTACGAGTTTGTGAGCAGAATGCCTGTCGAGCCAACTCCTTCTATGTTGGGCGCTCTCTTCAACGGGTGCTTGAACCACAAAAGGCTCGATCTTGCGGAGATAGTTGGGAGGAAGCTGATAGAGATGCAGCCTGATAACGACGGGAGGTATGTCGGATTGGCAAATGTTTATGCTGAGGTGAGAAGGTTGGATGAATGTAGGGACACGAGAGGAGAGATGGAGAGGAAAGGGGTGAAGAAAACTCGTGGGTATAGTATTGTGGTTTAGTTTGATTTTGTTGAGATTCATGGTCGGTCTTGTAACCTCGTATCCATGTTTGTGTAGATATGGTATAGATAGACATATTAGTAGACATAAAATGAAGAAGATCAAACACAATTGAATTTCGTGTGGAACCATATATAATATCAGTCATAGTTTATCGATCGATGGTAAATAGTAGTAGCAGATTGCTAGACAGATTGATATAAATAGTAGCAGCTGATAGATAGACAGATTCATATAGATATGTATACTATGAGATGGGTCAGGACTCAGGATGAAGTCTCTCTAGAGCTCGGCGGCGGAGTTGGGAGGAGGATGGAGCGGGTTGGGCTGGCCGAGCTGGAGATGGTAAGGGCTGAAGTGGGGAGGAATGGTGGAGAGTTGGAGGACACTGCTGGGCTCGCCGCCGCAGAATGGGAACTGTTCTTGGAGCTGCTGCATAATTTGCTGCTGCTGATGGTGCTCCATTGGCTTGGCTTCTGCTTCTGCTGCAGCCACCTGCGCCTGGTGCTGCTGCTGATACTCCAACGCTGCCCGATTCTCCTGGATCTAAACCAACCATATCATGAATCCATCATTCATTCATTTATCATCATCATCATGGCTATATTAACTCAGGAAAGTCCTTGATCATATATGGTTACTATATATGCTCACCCAACGATACATATTGCTGTTCTGCTCCTCTAACATCCTCTCCTGCAAACAACATTTATCGATTTCAGGCCGAATAGTAACATATATATAGTAGCCATGATTAATGAAGCAATATGATGGTGGAACATAACATTGATGGATGATCACCTTCCTGCGCAGGTTCTCCAGCTGCTGCTGCAACAGCTCATTCTTGCGGTCGCGGATCTTGGCAACGGAGCGTTCGAGCTGCTGCTCGAGCTGTTCCAGGTCTTGGAAAGGGATGGCGGCCATTTCCTCGCCGGTGTAGCGCCTCATGCTCAGCTGGAGCTGCTTCGTCTCTTTCCTCAGCACCGCCAGCTCGCCCAGCACTTGCTCCTGGTGCATTTGCCATGACTTTGGCTAATTATGTACTTGACTAATTAAGTTGATTAATTGATGAGATTACGGGTTTAAACTGAACTTAATGTAATAATAAATTACCCGGTTGTCGTGCTCAGGGATGCGAGTCCCCGTAGCCTTCAGATACCTCTCTATGATCTGCTCCATCCTGCAACCACACCCATCATCATTTCATTTGTTTGAGGAATTCAAGATTGAAACCCTAGCTAAGTGAAGCTCCACAGTGCTCTTTTTTCAAGTTAATTAATATACTAATGCAGCAGACACATGCATAAACAACACAATATAAAAAGCCCTTATTAGTTGTAAGTAGTGTGTAATGTTGATGAGCTGACCTGAAGGGGTCGGAGGCGTACTGGCAGAGCTTGCCGGTGCCGGAGAAGACGATGAGGCCGATCTGAGCATCACAAAGCACAGACAGCTCGTGGGTTTTCTTCAGCAGCCCGTTCCTTCGCTTGGAGAATGTCACCTGCCTAGTCGTCTGGTTCTCTATCCTCTTTATCGCTATCTTCCCTCTCCCCATTATTCTTGAAAATCAATCAATCTGCAGGATCTTTTCAAGTACAAGGTCACTACTTCAGATTAAAAGTTAAAAACGGGTTTTAAACCAGAAGAAAACTCTATTTTGGTAGCTGAGTTGTGAAGATCAGTTAGTGATCCACATGCATTTGGGAATACAAGACATGATCAGGCTATTATGCTAGTATAGTACTACGTGGTTCTCTCTCAAACCTCAAATGAAACAAAAAAAGCCACAACCCAGTTCCATTTTCTTCTTTTTTCCTTGGAAAACACACGCAGCAGAACAGGAAAGGAAGAACAGGTTAAAAGAGGAGTAGCAGTAGCTAAGGAATGAGTATATATAGCAGAAGAGAGAAAGAAAGAAGAAAAGACCTACCCTCAGCTTCTACTATCTATCTCTGTGCTTCCTTTCTCTCTTGTTGCAGCTGATTGCCAATTGGGAGAGGGGCAGAAGGACTATATAATAGAAGAACAAATGAGTAGAAAGTAATTTCTTTCTTTGTTTCCAGCAGCTATAAGTGTACATCAACATTGTACAAAAATACAGAACCTTATACATATATAATACATTACACACTAGTTTGTTGTCCCCAAGTAATTATGAAAAATGAAAGCTTTACTACATAAATTTCTGAACTCTTCAGTCTCAACCACCACCACCACCACTTCTCTCTCTCTCCTCTCTCTGCTGTCTGGCTGGGGCTGTAATTGCTTTCTGCATATGCCCTCTACCTCAAACTTTCCAAATTCAGACCATTTTAACAATGGTTTGGTTAGCCAACCTGTGTCTGCATATACCACAATGGTAAAAGGGTTTGGCCACTGGTTGGGCCGGCCCCCACAACAATGGCCAGTACTGCAACAGCTTCTAGGGTTTAGGGCATGACAGAAGTGTAAAAGACAAAGAGGTAACTGTCCTATCCTTAAAATATGGGGCCACCACTCCTCTCCTTCCCATTGGCTGAAGCTTTTTGTCGAGCCTTGAATAACAGTCTACAGTAATAATGACTTTAGAATCTGAACTACTAGTGTCTGCTGCCTGATCCCTCTACTCATTATTTACTCTGTTCAAACCCACATGACTAGCTGATTCATCAAGCCAGCTTGCTTTCCTTTCCTTTCTTTTTACCACCTCCTCGCCGGGACCAATCTCCGCAGTTAAAACTTGTGTCATTTGGTTTCTCTCATGGCCGGCGACTATATCTTCAAAATTTGGTGATCACTTTCTGTAACCGATGAAGATGACACATAACATCTCTCGCCACTTCCCTTAGTTGGTAACCATGTGTGTATTAGAGTTTGGATGATGACGAAATGGATTGTTAGACTTTACACGATACTAGTATTCGTTTAATACTCGCCTATAGATATACCGTTTTACACTTTGCATACCATGTATGTTGCTACTTGCTAGCTGGTAAAGGAAATTTACGTGCGTGCAAACTTTTAGCAGGAAAGTTTAAAGCAAAACTTACAAAAACAACATATATAAATACGTGTGTGTAACGAAAGTACAACCAATGTATTCTTACATTCAACGATTTCTGGACCTAATAGAAACGAATGTGTATGCTTTCCTTCCTTCCAACTCATCAATATGTATCTCTCAATTTAGGTTCAGTAATAGTCTATTCTTGTTGGTTGTGCCCATTTCTTGATCTGTCAATTCCTGTCATCAAGCACATAACAAACAAGTTCTTGAGCCTTCAAGTCCAAAAAGGTCATGAAACCATCCGAATGAGTTGCCATACTGTATATACATCCATTTCAAAGAAAGAAAGAAAGAAAAAAAAGTTACCCTGATCCCCATCAATGTTCTTGCTATAACTTGTGAAACCAATACCACGTTAAGAAGATAAAAACACAGAATGACTAAATCAAATCACCCTTCTTCTGGTGTACACTCAGTAAATTACAGCTATGAGTCTGGTTTCTTCATTGTCTAAAAATATCTTAGCGGCCTAATAGTAAACTGCCATGTAACTTCCCTCCTTCCTTCCCCATTTTCAACTAATTAATTAAGAGTGCTGTTGTTACAGAACAAAGGTTGAAAAAAGTTACCACATTGTGTGGCAACCAATAGTCAGAAAGCACACATGACAGTCCATTTCTAAGTTTCCAAAAAGAGGAAGCTGGCCAGCCTGCTAGCTACTGCCAATCCATAAATGGCTGACTTGCTGTCCCATTCTTGCTAGGGTTTCTTCTTCTTCTTCTTCTTCTTCTTAATCTCTCCTCAGATTTTCTGCCCTCTGCAATCTGCATTAAAACCACATATATCATCATTATTCTTCTACCCACTATCCCACTTGACCACCCACTTCAAACAAATTACCTCAGCCTGGAATTATTTACTGCCTTCTCCCTCCCTCTTTTATCCTTTCCCACTTTGACCAATATCATGTAAGAAAGGATATGTTCCTAGCTTGGAGAATTAACTGAGGTGAGGAATTTTGCTAGCTATGATTGGAGGCAAGCTCATGCATATATGTTGTCAGATTGTGCAACATGCAATCTCCAATATGGTTGGATACACACATCAGTATTATTTGCAAGAAAAAAATATAACCATATAAATCCATAAAACCAAATCCTACATTATGGCGCTTTGGGGACATAAAATAAAAGTGGAACCATACAGCACGAAACCAATTCGTACACCCAACAAATAACACGATCAACTAAAACCACACCTGATTATGTCGATCCATATATACTGATGCCTACGTAGATATTAACCGTTCTGTAGGAAATTTTGTTTCTAAGCTGGCTGGCTGCCACCTTGTATTCTGCCACGCTAATAATACAGATCCAGATCCCCATTATAGTTTTGGTTTCATGTCCACTTCACAAATCACCCTCATTTACATGCCTTTGTTTTTCTTCTTTGTTTTCACCATCAAAATAATCCCCTCACGCAATTACTATTCTTAGTAACTAATTTCATCCCACAAACAAACGCAAAACTAACACAATAACGCTTTCAAGATGTAATGCATGCTACACATCGTAGCAGTTGGCCCAGTGGCGTGGCCTGCTCTCCATACCTCCAGTTAGGAATTTGCGGGGCTGGGTACACATTGCTGTAATTATGGGCCCGAAAAAAGAGGCCTGTTACTTTATCTGTCAAGCATGGGCTTCCCAGGCCCACAAAAAGCAGTGAAATTTGGCCAACAAGAAATTCGAGCCCTTCCGAGTCCCGACTTGGTGACCGGCGGTGAATAGTACGACGGAGAAAAATTATGCAATTACCCTCCATCTCTTTCCTATATTGCGTGAACCTTACCACTATCCCGGTCCCGGCCGCTTCCATTTTCGGTGAAGGTACTAGCGGTTATTCACTGGAGATCGAGCAGAAGACAGAGAAATGAAGAAGAAACTACTAGTAGAAGAAAAAAGTTGATTCTATTTTGATTTTGCAAGGTTTTGAAAAGAATTGGCGCAAAAATCCTAGGGCTTCGCATTTGGACCGATTAAGATTAGTAGATTATTTGATTTACTTCTTTCGCCTTTCGGGTAGCGCGCGACGGGATGGTGATTGGGGTCATAGGTAAGGTTGAAAATTATTTTTGACTCCGCCTTTGATCCTATCCTGATCTTCTCTTACCCGCCATTAAAGGATCAAGATGTATAACTGAACTGATCTGATCTGCCCCTATTTTCTTCTTGACCCTATCTGACTCTCTAAGAGCAAGACGGATCTAAAAAGGTCGGGTCAATGATTTTTTAGGGCCTACTTAGACATGGATGAAACATCCATACGCTTCATTTGCCACGCCTTGACCTTCCGCATGGGAGTTGGGTAGTAGTGTACGCTGTACTGTTATTATGGGCCCGAAAAAAGTAGTCTGTTACTTTTATTTGTCAAGGATGGGCTTTCAGGCCCACAAAAGCAATGAAACTTGGCCGACAAGAAACTGGTGGTGGCCGGCGTTGAATAGTACGAACGAGTGTAGAAAATGATCAACCATCACAGGGGTCGTTATCTTGCGTGAAACTCACTTCTAATAACACCGGTACCGCAAAAGGAGCAGATTTTGTCGGCGCCGTCACCGCCGGCGATATAGGAACGATAGGGAAGATATCGTGTGGTGGTGGAATGAGATTGGTTGTGGTTGTAGGGACAGGATTCATGATAGAAGATAGATAGGAAAGCATGAAAGAGAATTCTTTATTGGGCTCGATTTATATTTTAATTAGATGACAGATAGGAAGAAGAGAGGAAATCGACGAGAATGGATTGGGAAGGAAAAGGGGATTTGGGAGATGTTATTTTATTACACAAAGGTATCTGAAGTATAATTTTTTAATACAAAAGCCCCACTTGTTAATTTTTCTCACATTTGATTGAATTCACATTAAGTCCATCTTTCAGTTTTTAGTGGCTTCGTTTGGCTTACGTGAATTTTCTACTCTATTACATTTCTTTGCAAATAATGTGACCTAAATTGAACGAAACGAGATCAATTGATTAATAATTGGCCAAGCAGAAAAAGCTACTCAGTACTCACAAAAGATAATAATTAAATAATGTGGCTGTATCCACGTAACTTAATTTTATTGGTTGTGAGTATATGAGAATATTCGGATCGGGGATTATTAAAGGAAATTCGATGGTTTGGTTTGTTCATTATGTACTTTTACCACTAAAAAAAAATCCCCCCAGCACTAATTTCCCCCGCCGGCGTCTACATTTCTCTAATTCCACTCGGAGTGAGCTGGATGAGCAACATTACGATGACGAATCGCGGTGGCTCGCCGTGGGCAGATCTTCCAGAGGAGATCCTGGAAGCAATCGGCAGCCGCATCGACCACCCAATCAACGTTCTCAACTTCCGCTCCGTCTGCTCCTCCTGGCGCTCCGCCGTCCGTACCCCTGACTTCCACCATCCAATTCCGCCCATTGAAGTCCGGCTACCTTACCCCGGCGACGTCGACGGCGTCCTCGTTCCCTCCACTCTGTGCTTCGTGGAGTTTCACTCTCCTCCGATCCCCAATGGCGATTCGACCTTCGCCGTCGCCGGCGGTTGGCCGGTCAAAATCGAAGAAGCAAGCCACGGCAAGCTACAGCTTGTGGACCCAATTTCTAACCTCAAGCACCATTACTCTCCGACTCAATTGATCTCGGCCGAGTTTCGCACTGTTCAAATTAGCTCCGCGTTCCGCCTCACATATCGGGATGGATTCAGAGCTTTCGAGGTGAATAAAGTCGTCGTCTTTCCCCCCTCTGCAAATCCCCTGCCTCAACAGCAGAGTGTCACCGTCATAGCCATTTTCCACAAAGGCAGAATAGGGTATTGGAGAAACGGAGACGACGATTGGACTCTCTTAGACGACATGAATTTCAATTACGACGACATAATCATCCACCGAAGTCGGTATTACGTCGTGGACAGATTTGGGAAACTCTCCGTGATCGATTCGTCCCTGAAATTCGTGAAATCCTGCTCAGCGCCGCCGCTCCCCCACCGCGGCGGCTCCGGCCAGAAGAATCTGGTGAAGTCCGGGGGAGATTTGTATTTGGTGGATAGATATTTGGATGGGAGGAGGAGGAATTGGAAGGATGTGGAGGATGCCATTGCCAGCAGCTTTCACCCTATTCGCCAATTTGTGGGTCTGGGAAGTGGCAGGAAATGGCACCCAAGAGCGGTGGATTTCAAGGTGTACAAGCTGGATGAGGAGATGGGGGAATGGGTTGAAGCGAATTCGTTGGGCGGTGATGATACGGTGTTTGTGCTGACGCCGGGGTGTTGTTTCTCTGCTCCCGCCGCACACATTGCCGGCGGAGAAAGGGATTGCATTTACTACTCCGATGATGATGTTGATGTGGGCAGGGAACCGTTGAGTACCGACAGCATTCGGGTGTTTCAGATGGAGGATCGTAGTATCAAGGAAATGAGATCATTGCCTCGTGAATTTCGCGCCGAGTCTTAGTTAGATAAAGAACGAGCCGGAGCCGCCATTGTTGTTTGTAGCTTCACCTGGTTTGTTGTGGACCACTGGAAATTCGTCTGTTCGATTGCTATGTTGTTTGAAATTTGCTATGTATAGAACTGTCGAATAACAATTTCCCGTGGCATTCATATTTCTCCTCCAATTTTTTACTTGGATTTGATCTCTCTGTTTAACCTTTATAGTGTTGAGGAAACAGAGCCGCTGCGTATAGAACTTTTTTGAAATTTGCTAAATCCTTTCGTAGTTTCGCTGTTTGTTTAGCCCGTGGTGGAATGGGCCGAAACTTGATCTGCCAAAATAAAGAGATTAATAAACCAAGACAAAAGAATGGGCTCAAATTAGTTAAGCCCAATCTTTCAATGATGCCATAGTTTTCTTCTTCTTCTACCTGCCGAGGAGATTTCAATTCTAATGGCGTGGAAAGGGACATTTTTACGGTGACCATCACTGACCCGAAGCTGGAGAGGGACAGCCAGACTGTGACACCTTAAACAAATACAAAATGGAAATGAAATGAGGTTGTCGTGTTTCATGGGTCGACGACCCAGACGAGCAATAAACAATCAATCAAAACGAAACGACGGAAGAAAAGTTTCGGATCGAGGATTACGACATGAAACTCCACCGTTAATGGTGGTTGTGCTTGGCACTTGGCAGCTTGATGCTATTGCTACCCACCACCGTTCACCTACCGCAAATCGACCTCCCCCCCAAAAAAAACCCAACGCCAATTTCCACTCGGAGGAACCAATATGACGATTCCTCGCGGTGGTTCGCCGTGGGCAGATCTCCCCGAGGAGATGCTGGAAGCCATCGGCAACCGCATCGACCGCCCCATCGACGTCCTCACCTTCCGCTCCGTTTGCTACTACTGGCGCTCCGCCGTCCCCGCCCCTGCCTTCGACCGACTGATTCCGCCCCTTGAAGTCAGGCTCCCTTACCCCGGTGACGTCCACGGCGTCCTCGCTCCCTCCGCCATGTGCTGTGTGGAGTTTCAGCCTCCTCCGATTCCCAATGGCGATTCGATTTCAATTTCAACCTCCCCCGCCGGCGACGACGCACCGCGGGGAGGCGGCGGTTGGCTGATCAAGGTCGAAGAAACCTCCCGCGGCAAGCTGCAGCTTCTGAACCCAATCTCCAACCTCAAGATCCGCTACTCTCCGATTCAATTGAGCTTGCTCGACTTCCGCCCCGTCCAATTGACCACCTCGTTCCGCCTCAGGTTCCAGGTCGGATGCCCAACCTTCGAGATTAACAAGGTTCTTCCGTTTCCCCCCTCTGCCGCCGCGGCGTCTCCCCGGCCCCAACAGTCGGCTGTCACCGTCATAGCGATTTTCCACGAAGGCAGAATAGGTTACTGGAGAAACGGAGATGAACGCTGGACTCTGTTAGACGGCAGAAGCTTCGATTACGACGATGTAATCATCCACCGAGGTCAGTACTACGTCACCGACCGATTGGGGAAACTGTCCCTGATCGATTCGTCCCTGAGATTCGACGAATCCTACCCCTCGCCGCGGTTCCTCCGCGACGGCTCCAGCGGCGGCGGGCAGAAGAATCTGGTGGAGTCCGGGGGAGATCTGTACTTGGTGGATCGGTACTTGAGCGGGAGGAGGAGGAACTGGAAGGATGTGGATGATGCGATTACCAACAGCTTCCATCCGATCCGATTCCTCGTGGGGACGAGGAGGGGAAGGAAGTGGAACCCTAGAGCGGTGGATTTCAAGGTCTACAAGCTGGATGAGGAAATCGGGGAATGGGTTGAGGTGAAGTCGTTGGGGGATGATGGTAGAGTGTTCGTCCTGACGACGGAGTGTTGTTTCTCGGCTCCGGCTGCGCAGATCGCCGGCGGGAAGAAGGATTGCATTTACTACTCCGATGATGATGATTATGTGGCCAGGAACATGATGAGGACGGAGAGCATTCGGGTGTTTCAGTTGGGGGATGGGAGTATTGAGGAAGTGAAAACGTTGCCTCGCGAGTCTAATGTTTTTCTGCCTCCTGGCTTTCGTATGGAGTTTTAGATTGTAGAAGCAGCCATTGTTGACTTTGTTGTAGCTTCATCTGCAGGTTTTGCCCACCTCTGGAGTTAAGTTTGCTCTTTTCTTTCTTCTCTTGGCTCTCGCTATTGATGGTAAAAACTGAAAAGAAACAACCACTACCCTTCAAAAGGGCGTACTATTTGTAGCCCTAAAGTATCTTTATTTGTAGCCCTAAATTATAAAAAGTACAATAATACCCATGACATTTAAATACATTTACTTCACACGTTTCAAGACCAAAACATTCAAACACTTTTCCAAACACAATTCTACAATACTCGCCGCCGGCGACAGCCACCTCCCGCCGGCGACCGCCACCTCCCGCCGGCGACAGACCCTTTCTCCGACGAGGTACGCCGGTAAATTACCCGACGACGATGGCCGGACGTCCTGCCGGGACGTCGCCGGCGACGGCCGGAAGTTCTGCCGGGTCGTCGCCGGCGACGGCCGGAAGTTCTGCCGGAACGTCGGACGAAGGTCGCCGGCGGCGGACGAACGTCCTGCCGGGACGTCGCCGGCGGTGGACGAACGTCCTGCCGGGACGTCGCCGGCGGCGGACGAACATCCTGCCGGGACGTCGCCGATTTTTTATTTTATTTTTAATTTTCTGTTAATTTAAATTTGTGAAGTATATTATATTTTTTAAATAGATATTAATTTAGATTTTTCGGTTATTATTTTAGATTTTTTATAATAGATTGATGAATAATTTAGATTTTTAAGAACATTTAGTGATTTTATTACAGTTCATTATTTTATGAATATTTTAATTACCATATTGTTTAGAAAAATTTGTTCTAATATTATTTTTAAAAGGAAGGGAGTGTTTGGTTGGAGTTGTAACAAGTTCAATATTTTAAAATGAAGGAAGGGTAAAATAGTAATTATATTCTCCTAGGGCTACAAATAAGAAAAAGTTAGGGCTATAAATAGCAATTCAGCCCTTCAAAAGGGGGTCTTTATCTTTAACCTTCAGCGTAAAAAATTATTGTCAACACTGCAGTGCAGGGGAGAGGGTAAAAGGGAGCTCTTACAAAAAAAACAAAGGTTTTTACAGCTCTCAGGGGGCAGGCTGATGCCTTGTCAATCAAGAAAATTCCTCCGAACTCCTTAAAAACATTGTTCAGGCAACAAACAAAAAGGCTATGCAAATCAAGAGTGCAAGGTCAAATCTGCTCCTCGATAGAAACACGGCTTACGCTTCAGTTAACCAGACCCCTCTCCTTGAACACGTTGAACATGGCGGTACCAATCTTTGCTGGAGATTCGACTACGGTCACTCCGGCTTCCTTTAGTGTCTTGATCTTGTCTTGTGCAGTTCCCTTACCGCCCGATACGATAGCTGCGTCACACACCAACCAGAGGTAAATGATTGGAGAATGTAAGAGGAAGAGAACCAGGTAAAAATCGCAATACACCAATCTATACTAGGAGTGGATGAAGTAGTACCTCCAGCATGGCCCATACGACGTCCAGGTGGAGCCGTGAGTCCAGCAATGAATGCCACGATTGGCTTTTCTGTCTTGCTTGCCTGTTTCCACTCATAGCAAACACATAGGCATTCAGTTTCGAGAGTGGGTAGCAAATCCCAAAAAGTCACAGATATCTCATAGCTCAAGAATCAATTTTCTGGTTTGGTTTTAGGTAGTGTTGCAGAAAAAGGAGGGCTTATGTTATGCAGATGAAAACCCTGTTAGTTTCACCCCGGGCAGCTCTGGTGATTCAGCAAATTAACTTGTGGCTCAATCTTATTCAAAATCCACCATTCCATGTCTAGTACACTCACAGTTTATCAATTGAGAGTCCGAGAATTCAGCAACTTGACAAACGCAAACACAAATGCAGAATTACTAAACATGCCAGGATTAAAGTGAATCACCTTACGGTATTCCGGATTTTATTTTTCTAAAGATACTTGGGACTAAAGAAAAACTCTAAACGCATCCTAGAGTACATGCTAATTAAGGCAATCCAGTCTATTTTTCCCGTTCACATGCCTATTATCTAGACGTTAAGAAGAAAATGCAGTATACATGCACCACATGAGCAATATACTCTTTGCATGAAGGGAACAGACCTATTGATGACATTTTATTCAAAACTCATACCTTTATGAGAGCAGCAGCCTCCTCTTCTGCCGTACCTCCAATCTCACCAATAAGAACGATACCTGTGAAGGAACCGTGTACAATAATCATCATTACAATTACTTGCAAGCTTATATTAAGCTATTGTAATTGTCACTGAACACGGATACAAAATCAGCTAAGCTTTCTAGAAAGCTTAGCAGCAGGACTGTGGGATCTAGTAAGGCATATGACTTAAGGGTTACTTCTAGGTTCTTCTTTGTTGATGCTCAGTATGAGTTAGTGATCAGTCCTTTCTCATTTGAACTAATCCCAAATGCATTTAAAACACAGGAATCCTGTAATCAGAAGATATGGTTATGACCAATTCAAGCCTGGGGTTACCTTCAGTCTGAGGATCTGCCAGAAACTTCTCCATGCAGTCAACAAAGTTTGTCCCATTGAAAGGATCACCACCAATACCTACACATGTGGACTGCCCAAGACCAACTGCTGTTGTTTGGAAAACCTGAAAATATATAGAATCAAGCCTTTACTTAAAATTCATATGCATATCACATACTCAATGCATGAGCTTACTGCATCGTATATACACAACCACGACATCTATCTGTGTTGATAAACAGTATTACCATCAACAGGTAGAATAGAGAAACGTAACAAGGAATGAAGAACCACGGTATCAATCTATCATGAGAAATCAGCGACAGGCAATGACTAAAAATTCAACAGAAAGATCAGCACTCACAGCCTCATACGTCAATGTGCCGGAACGAGAAACAATTCCAATACGCCCTGGTTTGTGAATATATCCTGGCATGATTCCGATCTTGCACTCTCCAGGTTTGATAATACCAGGGCAATTTGGACCGATTAGTCTTGTTTTGGATTGCCTTTGAAGTGCAGCCTTCACACGAACCTGTAGCCAACAGAATCCATCTCAGACTGGCAGTAAAGAATAATAATTTGAAGAGAGACATTCAAACAGACAACAGGAAAGAGACATGACGAGATAACAGAGCTACTCCCCTTTAAAATGAAGGTTAAATAAAACTCCAACAACATAGAAAATATAGGCAAAACACAATCTCAAATAATAAAAATGCGATCAGAAAAAAAACTCCAGTCAGACCGTGTCTAAGTCATTACAAGATTGATATCCTTCAGCTTCCACTGATTGAAACATACAAAGTTACGTTGGCGAACGTATCAAAGGACAAACTGAGATGGCTAGTGCTGTTCTAAAATTGGCTAATACATCAACTAACAAGAGGACAGGTTACATAACTCTAGGTAGTAACAGAAAGAGATGAAAAAAGGTAGCAAATTTCAAGAAGATCTTAACACCTCCATCAGCTAACAAAGACAGTCACATTACTGTCAGCAAGGCAGCGAAGTCACTTACCATGTCATGCTGAGGAATTCCTTCTGTGATACAAACAACAAGGTCCAATTCAGCTTCCATAGCCTCCATAATGGCTGCAGCGGCAAAGGGTGGAGGAACATAAATCACGGAAGCATTAGCTTTCGTCTCAGCCTTTGCTTCTGCAACAGAGTTGAAGACAGGAAGCCCCAGGTGTTCTGTGCCACCCTTCTTCGGCGTGACACCTCCAACCTGTTTCAGCAGCAATCACAAGGAACGACTAAGAACATTGAAACTACCAATTCCATTTCTGAAAAGAAAACAACTCACAACAGCCGCTTCCAGAGAGCGAGTAGAAAATGACATTTGTTTGTCAAGATCCTCTGCGTTCTATTAATACACCCCAAGCAGGGAAAAATTGACGAACTGAATTTCGCATTTCTCCACGAACTCGAAATGGGAGCAGACTTCATCAAGCACCACAAAACCATACTCACAACACATGAATACAATGGAAATCTACTCACAGTCGGCACTCACGGAAGGATCACGGCTCGATTACTAAAATAACCTAATTCCGAACCAACCACACCACCGCCGAAACGTATGGAACCAGTAGCAACGGAGGGAAAGGCGGAGATAGAAAAGTAGGGAGTTTACCATCTTAGTGCCATATTCGATGGCTTGTTCGGTGTGGAAGGTCCCGTTCTTGCCGGTGATTCCCTGGCAGATGATGCGGGTGTTCTTGTCGACGAAGACCGCCGGCGGGGAAGGAGCGGCGGCGAAGGAGCGCGATTGCAACAGAGAACCGGACGATGAAGAGGAAGACGAAAGCGGGGTGATCTGGGGACTGGGAGAGCGGAGCTTGGAGGACAGAGACGCGACCAGTCTGGTGGCTTGGCGAGCCATTTTTCCGATCTCTCGTTCTCACTCAGAGCCTGGACGGAGGGAAGAAGAACGGCAGCGCGAGATCTCAACGCGAAGTAATTGGGGGAATAAGTCTTCTTTAGCCTACCAGCAGGGGAAAGAATAGGAGAAAGAAGAGAGGTTTTGCTGGGCTGTGATCAAAACAAAAAGTGGAAGTCGTCGTTCCGGACTTTCGCGTTCGATTGACCATTATGCCGGTCGGCCCGGCCCAGGTAGCCCGACTTTTAGCCCAATCACTTCAAGGTGCTCCTGATCAAGCCCATATACAAGTCGATCCCATCTCTGCTTGAAGCCCATATACAAGTCGATCCCGGACTTTTAGTATGTAACATTATTGCTCCACTTTTGTAATGTTACTTGCTTTCCGGTTTAGGGTTGGAATAAGAGGAATCGAAATTTGTATATAAAAAAAAGAGTTTGTTAAAGGACTAAAGGAGTTGTATCTCCATTTGCTTGCGGTTCCTAAAAACGAGATTTCAATTATACATATGGGATGAAAACCAAAATCTCTCTATAAAACAGTAACCGAAAAATCTCAACATTTTCAGCAAACTAACAATTTAATTTTCATAAAGGCAGTAAGAAAAGAAAAAAACAATCCTCACTTCGAGCTAAGAACTACTACTTCAACTCAACGGATCTTCTAGGAGCAGAACCACCCTTATTATTATCGTCGTCGTCGTCGACGGCATACTTCTGCCAGAACCAATGTCGCCGGAAAACCTCCCCCATGTCCTCAATGGGCACGTTCCTCGTCTCCGGCAGGAAAAAGTAGATGAACCCGGTCATCACCACCACAAACGCCGCGAACAGGAAGAAGAGCCCGAACTTGAGATTGCACAGCAAGCTGAGGAAGAACTGCCCGATGACGAACGTGAAAAACATGTTCACCCCGGCGTTCATCGCCTGCCCCGCCGACCTCAGCTCCAACGGGCAAATCTCCGTCGGCACCAGCCACCCCATCGGCCCCCACGACCACGCGAACGCCATCACGAACCCCGTCACGAACACCACCACCAGCACCGCCGCCGCCGTCGACAGCTGCCCCGTCCCGCTCGTCCCGAAACTCCCCGCTATCATTCCCCCCACCACCACCTAATCACCCACAAAACAAAACGTCAAAGAATTATCGTATTAGTAAACCACGTAATTCTGCAACATCAGAATTTCTGTATCGTAATTAAAAACAACACATTTTCAATTTTCCAATCCTTTACTACATAAATTAGCTGCAATCAAACACAAACCCTAACATACCGTGTTTTCCGTTAAATACAGAGTACACAATGTAGTCAAAAGGTTTAAAAAGTTTAGATTGTAAAACTTCCACGTCAAATTCTACGTAAAATTGTCATTTTTGACGGAAACTACGTACCTGACATATGATCATCTGGATGCCGCCTTCGAGGAAGAGCGACCGTCGACCGAACCGGTCGGCGACGTAGATGGAGACAAAAGTGGCGACGACGTTGAAAAAACCGGTAATGAGAGAAGACATCAAAGAAGCGCTCTGACCAAGACCAAGAGTCTTGAAAAGGACGGGAGCGTAAAACATGACGACGTTAATCCCCGTCACCTGCTGAAAAAACGGGATCAAGGTGCAGAACACGAGCTGGGGGCGGTAACGCCGCTCCGTGAGTAGACGGCGCATGGGGCGGTCGATTTTCTTGGCGGCGGCGCTGGCCCTGACGAGGTCCTCGAACTCGGCGTCCACGTCGTCGGTTCCGCGGATCTTCTGGAGCATCTGCTTGGCCTTGGCGGCGTCGCCGCGCTCGAGGATGGAGTTGGGAGTGTCCGGGAGGAAGAGGGAGCCGACGGTGATCATTAGGGCGGGGACGGCGGCGAGGCCTAGGGAGATTCTCCAGCCGTTGCCGCTTGGAATCTTGGCCGTCCAGTAGTTGACGAGGTTTGCGGCGAGGATCCCGATGGTGATCATCATTTGGAAGCCGATGTTCATCGCTCCCCTCCATTTCGCCGGTGCAATTTCGCTCAAGTACACCGGAATCGACTGCACGCAAAAAAAAAAAAGCGTTTGTGATTTCCGTCGCAAATTCATTAGTGGTTGCAAAAAAAATTAGTAACGACCTTGTGGTCGCAAAAACAAGCATTTGTGACGAGTTATTTCGTCGCAAATTATTAGTAACGACATGCTGGTCGCAAAAACACAAACATTTGTAACGAGTTACCGGTCGCAAACAATCATAAATTGTCACAAGAAGTTAGCGACCGTAGTTTTGGTCGGGAAAGGTGTTTTTACTTTTGTTTTAATGAAAAGGATGGGGAGAGAGAGGGGAATACTTGATTGCAGAAGCCGACGCCGACGCCGAGCAAGAGGCGGCCGACGATGAGCATGGCGACGTTGACGGCAGCGGCGTTGATGATGGCGCCGGCGAGGAAGACGAGGCCGCCGGAGAGCATGGACAATTTTCTGCCGTACTTCCTGGTGATGGTGGAAGCGCACATGCAAGCAACCAAGGCGGAGAGGTAGAGGGAGGAGGTGAAGAGGGTGAGGAGATGGCTGTCGAACTTGCAGTACATGTTCTGATTCTGGTCGGCGACCTCTTTTCTGTACACCGACGGGAAGAACTTCATCAGGAAGGAATCCATCGACGTCACACCTCCTGCCGTAAAAAAAAAAAAAAAAAAAAATTTTGCACATAATTAAAACCCTAGTTTGATAGGTATGTTAACAAGGGAAACAACGAGTTGTGTTACGTAGGTCAGGAAAGTTTCTACGTACCGGAAATACCAAGGTCGTAGCCGAAAATGAGGCCACCGAAGGCAGCAACGATGCAAGTAGTGACGATGAAGGCATTGACTTCTCCGCCGTAGGAAGGTGGTTTCCGGTCGCCGGCGGCCTCCTCGTCTCGTGCCATTGTTGAGATCTTTGGTGGGTTTGGGAGTAAAGTGCAGGGAAGAGAAACAGAGATGATTTAGAGGGTGTTGTTTGCTTAACCTCGATCTATCTTATCTCACTTATATATAGAGAGGGTTTTTGACTTGTGGGTGAAGTGGGATATCTATTGATTCTCCGGATATATATAACAGAGTTTGTTTGATGATAAATATGTGGATAAAAGGCATTTACTTAATTATATATTGGATCAGATTAATGCATAGATTATTATCTGTCAGTCGACGTGGGTAGTTTTGGCTCTGTTAGGTTGGAGATTTATCTAAACGAATATAGATTTGGTTTTAGAAACAAACTCTTTATAACATTTTCTTAATTATCCGTTAAGGTTGTACAGTCACATGGTCGATTTTTTCGGTTCAAACGCACACTCGATTGTGAACTTAACTTAGAAAGGAATGATTGGGGCGATCGAGTAAAATCTGGTTGACCCGTTAATGAAATTTTTGTCTTGCTGGACCGGAATGACCCATCAATTATTATACTCGAGCAAGCTTAGCTTCCTGGGAGTTGAGTGGTGTAGTGTAGTCGCTAGTATGATCTCTCAAACTTCCATCTAATTGTATGATGAATTTCATTATTTCAAAGTCAATTAGGTCAGATTTAGAGGTCACAAAAACAAGTTTTTACCATTATAAACATGCAAGTCAATGTACCATCTTATCAGATGATAATTTATTATTTTATCAGATGATAATTTAGATGAGTTGTTATAACAAACCATCTTATCCATAATCTCTCAAAATAAGTCATTGTAGCAAATTGAAAGTAAGAAGAAAAATGATGTACTTTGACATAGAATCTCTCTTTAATTTGGATCATTTTCAAATACTTTTGGAGGACGTTACGATAAAAACTCATGCGTTTTGAAAATTTTGGGATGGGCATTATGACATTTATCGTATGTTTGTAGCAGTACATTAAAACTATTTCTCATTCAAATGACCCATACAAATTGTTCGTAAAATTAAATCAAACATTGACGATGTTTACAATTTATCTATTATGATGTACAAACTATTCAGTAACTATATATTTAGACATAACTATGGTGTATTATGCACTTCAAACTTAAGATATATCATAAATCACACCTATCTTTTATAATTCATGAACAAATCCTTAACTTAGTCACTAAAAAAAGTTAATATCAATTTTGTTCACTCGATTATTGGATGGAAGATCTCAGCTCGTCTTCCTGGAATTCGATTATTTCTAATCACACCTTGCATGGCCATTTGAGTGATGCGTGGAATCTTTTCATGAGATGGAGTTTTCCGGTACAAAACCAGACACCATAACTTGGAATTGTCTGCTGTCAGGGCATGCTCTTCATGGACAATAGGAAAGAAAAGAGAGACTCGGTTAAAGGCAAGGAGGAGGAAGAAGAAGGCAAGGATGAAGAAGAAGGTGTCGTCGCCTATTTTTATTTTCCGATAAACACTTCAACCCGTCGTCGGCGAGCTCTGACTGGTTTTCAATCAGCCGCAATGGCGATATAGAGCGAGTGGGCTTCATAATTGTTACTTGTAATTCATTAATTTGTTTTTTGGATATTTTATTTTGTTATTAGTATAGTTGTATGTGTTTGTTTTAGTGTTTATAGGTTTGAAAAACACAAATTAAGTTAAGGATATTTGAGTCATTTTATAAAAAATTAGGAGGACGAATAAGATGTTTTAGAGCGACGAATAGCAATGTCTTTTTTAATCCAAAGCATCTTCCATTCTCTGGATGGAGGCCGGAGGGTCATCCTTTGTTCAACATCCTATTTAAGTGGAAACGAAGATTCTTCTAGGTATCAAACTATCACAAAAACAAAATTGTGGATGTGTTTTAGTTCAATCTTTATTCTTTAACATAACATAATACACGTCTAGAAGACTATGGAGGGGAGTTACCTCAGATAGGATCCATGGTCTCAAACTCTCAATCCTTCGATCTAATCCTCAAATTAAGGTCAAATTTGTATCTCAAAATTTTAATGTTACATATCGTTTGGTACTAAATAAATCTAGAAATCATTTCATTTCAAAATGAATTACCGTATAGAATTCATTGTCAAATGAATTCTTGTATGAGGTATGTCATATTCAAATCTTAAAAAGTAAAATGAATTGAATTCCCAAATCATGTTTGGCGTACGTTTATAATTGAATTGAATTAAAAGTTTCCAGCTACGCCCTTATTAATTTTTTCCAGAAACAATATTCATTGAAAATCCATCTTCTAAAAAATGCTTTTGGTCTCATACATAGAATATCACAGTGTTCTTGTGTGTTTCTATTCTATTCATTAGTTCTTTCGATATTTTGTCAATGAACCCTACACTCTAGTTGTGGCTTCTCAACATATTGATATAATCAAAGCAAAAATATCAAATAACCAGAATTTGCTACTAGCGCTGCAATCAAATTCTTGCAGATGTTCCTCATACTACATGAATTGGTGTCAAATAATACATGTAGAATTAGTTTAGTTAATAAATGAGAATAATTATGTAATTTTATTATAATTAGTAAATTCTTGTGGAATTCATTTGGAAATTCCATCTCAATTCCTCGGAATTGCTATAACTAGCTCCAATTAGGGATGACAAAATTATCCATAACCGTGGATATCCGCCCGAATCCGGGCTTATCGGGTAGGGTAAAACCAGAACCCGAAGGACATTTAGTGGGTACGGGTAAAACCCCAACCCGAATCTTGCGGGTAATGGGTGGGCATGGGTTTTTCACAATCCAACCCGAACCCGCCCGATTATACACATGCATATGTATTTTATCTAGAAATAACCATTATTTTCTGTAACATATTTTATATTTAACATATAAATATAATATTTTAATGAAATTGTGTTATTTTAATTGATTTTCTTCATTCTAGTGAATTATTGTCGTACTTTTCTTCTTACGTAATGTGAGAATACGTGAGATTGTTAATATATTGGTTGGAGTTATGAAGAGAAATTATTATCCATGGATAACCGTGAATACCCGAAACCCGAACGGGTATGGGCATGGTTTTGATTTTCTACCCGTTTCACATGTGGGTATGGATAAAACCCGAACTACTTTGGGTAGGGTAACGGATATGCACTATCCGACCCCCGACCCGACCCATTGCCATCCCTAGCTCCAATTCCGTAGAATTCAAATTTTAGAATTGGAAATGAATTCTTTTAAATACCAAACAAAAAAATATTTTATTTCAAAATAAATTTATTAAAATTTATGAAATTCATTTATACCAAACGGTATGTTAGAGTTAATTGAATAGTGAGTTCTACGTAAAATATTATTTTCTAGATAGCTGAATCAAAGATTTTAAATATAATTTCTGATTTCATTTGATCAACAATAACAATCGCACTTGTTTGTTTCTTTTGGTAGAATATAAGTGAAACTTATTGTAAAAAAATGGAGGGTTGTCAAATGTCAATAGATGAGGTAACAGTAGCAATTACGAACGTGGAGCTGCGTTTAACTCTCAATTCTCATCATCTCGCTCAGTGGCGCCCTGATGAAAATGTTTCTCAGTTCTCATCCATCAATAGTAAAGCCAAAAACACATAGAAGAAAGTTAATTACCCCGCAAAGCAACTTCTACACTTTTTTGAGTGTCAAGTTGGAATTCTCCAAATTGATATATATATTTTTTTTTGTCAAAAAATGGGACGCTAAAAGGGCGTCCCTGCTTGACACTTTAAATTAAACGGGTTTGGGCAATGCCCATAGAGTCATACATGAACCAGAAGTTAAAACCGGAATCGTGAATATCAAGCGGATGAAGGCCTAAAGTAGCAGAATGGTCTTTATTGGCTAGGTAGTTAGCCAATTTATTACTTTCTCTGTAGGAATGAGAGATAACAACCTCCCAATTGCGGTGAAGGAGCTCCTTAAGCTGCCCGATCAGAATGTGGTATCTATTGCTTCTGTGCTCCGTCCGGTTGATCAGAGTAATCGCCGTTGTGGAGTCCATTCTCAACTGAATCTTCCTGAAACCCAGCCGCCAAGCTAATTGCAAACCTTGGAGGGCTCCTTTAAGTTCTGCCCTTGTGATCGTACATGCCCCAAGGTTTGCATAGAACCCGCCCAGACATCTGCCGAGGTGATCGCGGATGATACCGCCCGACGCAGCTTGAGAGTGCGGTTGCTTGACCGACCCGTCTGTGTTGACAGCAACCCAGTGCTGAGGTGGAGGGATCCAGGAAAGATCCTCAGCCTGCTTATCCAGGTGAATGGAATGGATCAACTTATCTTTAGACTGCACCTCTTCAATTGTACGCGTCCAGCTGCGGATTCTGCAGGCGAGGGTTGTAGTGTCTTGATGTTTATTTTGAAAGATCATTTCATTGCGCTGTTTCCAGATGTACCAGGCAGCTACTCCGAACAAGAGTCCAGTGCTAGGGTGATTGAGGCGCTTGCCCATCCATTCTGCAAAATTCAGGCCCACAGTCAGGTTATTATCTCTTATATTCAAATGGTCCCAAACCTGTTTGGAGGATGCGCAGTGGCGAATGACGTGTTCGGTCGACTCTGGGGCAGCCTTGCAACTCTCGCAAGTGTCTGAGACGGATATCTTCCTGCGCTTCCTTTCGCAATTAGTCATTAGCCTGCCATGGAGGGAAAGCCACAGGAAATGGCGGATACGATTCGGCCCGTTCCAGCGCCAAACATGCTTCCATGGGATATCACTATCCGCGCTGTCTTCACAGTCTGCGCGAAACCACTCTGCAGCAGCTAAATAGGCAGTTTTCAGCCTAAACTTGCCATCTGCTTCAGGACTCCAGCTCATGGTATCTTCTCCCGCGACGGATCGGGGGGGTCTGTACCTGCAATCAGGGAAATGTACTCAGCAGACAGAAACGACTCGATTTGGTCCCAGTCCCACTCACCAGTATCCAGAGACAAGTCAACTACTGAGGCGTCCCGGTTGATCCTGTTATTGAGGTCATTGGCATAATCCAACAGGATAACACCTTCTGCTAGCCAGGGGTCAGACCAGAACTTAACCCCCCGACCATTGCGAATATCCCAAGTCGAGCCCTGCTTGACAAGGGGAAGAGCTTGCATGATCCCTCTCTAAAGACTAGAAGTCCGGT